ACTCCTCTTTCTGTCCTGGCCTATCTATCTACTCTTTACTCTCTTATCCCATTGCCGCCCTATCACAACTTTTTTCTTGCTTACATTCCACTCGTCAAAATCTGTGCCATTTTGTGGCAATTCTAGTATAGCCCCATCACACTTGCTATCTACCCCGACCCCTCTCTTTCTATCGGCTTATCTGATTCGGGCCTCCAATCCGGATCCCTTCATTGTTTCGTGGATCCATTTCTTAACTTTCTGGTTGACCGATTTCACTCGGTTCCAGTCCATGTGTGCATTTCACTCCAGGCGCCATTTCTCTAGGCCATAGAAGCACACACACTACCGCCTCACTGAGCAGAGCGCCTGAGCTCTGATTACCATGCCTGCAGATATCAGGCCTTCTCTTAACGGGTCCTTTATCTTAATTAAACCTATGTTATATGAGCAAACTGTGGACGCGTATCTCTGGTCGCAATGGAGATAAGAGGGTTAAGAGTAGATAGATAGGCCAGGACAGAAAGAGGAGTGATAGTCTAACCGTTTTCTGCAGAACCTTTGTCGAAGGATTGGCTTCACCAAGAGTCCGTAGCTTGGTGCGGCGAATGGCAAAACTCACTGATGATGTCGACTATAATGCCGGCGAAACGTTTGAGAATGTACCAAGTCCACTGTCGGATGCTGGGAATCATGACAACTACTATGGCAGACGAATTCGGACTAGGTGCGTTCTACCATGTTGCCATGAACAACAAGACCAAGTTGCGACGAGGTCAACCCATTTCTATAAATCAACAGGAGACTACGACCATACCAGTGGTCACAACATCTTGGTCTTCATATCTTCAAAACGTATTTCTATTTTGGTTTCAGTCTTCTTTCGCTGTATCGAAGTTGTTTTGCCTGATTTTCTCAACTTTGTTGTGCTTTCTGGGAGACCTATTTGAACACACCTTGTCCGACGTCCTATGCTATGATAGTTATGATGAACCGTGGAATTTGTACATTCATCGACGTTTCAACGGCATTGCCAGGCTAAAATCCGTCAAGGATAAGACGAGTTGTAGCTTGGTGCTAAGCCTGGCAGGACTCACTGAAGATACGGGCGGAATGTCTCGGAACGTACCGAGTTCACGATCCTATTCTGGGAATTATCATAACTACTAAAGGAGAGGATTTAGGACAAAGTGCCTTCATTTTGGTCCGTCTGAAAGCACTACCAAATTGCGATAAAGTATCTAGGTATGATTACACAGGATTAAGAACCGGATATAGTCTGTATTCTGGAAAAAAGGGCCATATATGATCAAATAAGATAAGCATTATTCGAAACTGTCATATTTTTGAGGGAATACTGGTCGTCTAGTTATGTAAAAATGGAGATCTTGCTGATGTGCGCGGCTTTACTACTACTGGACGATCTTTGATAGTGCTAGGACGCATCTATGTACCATTATTCTTTTTAATTTATCTTATTTGTCCTTCTAAAGGCGAGAGGCCACGACACTTCAAGACATGTATTGGCGTGCTTCGGTGGTGCCGGAGGTCAACATGCTTGTGCTATTGCCCGGCTCCTGGGCATCGAGACTATACTTATACATAAGTAAGTGGGCTTCCATTGTATTCATTTTGTGCCGCCTGTACATCTACATACTACCTACGTACCTATCTAACCGTCAGTAATTTGCTAGTTTGGTTATAATTGCTTTAAATATTGCATAAGGGATGTTTGGTAATATAATGAGCTTGTTCAGTAGGTGAATCAAGGTATTTCCTCGGATAATTCCTGTCTTAAGTGTATATAACTGGTAAATTATTAAAGTTCGCTACCTTTCGCTTTCATCGTTTGCGGAATTCCATAGTCTAATATTTATTGATTGAGTTTATCAGCTACACCTTGATGCGTTATTCCGACTTATTAATATTTGAATGCTCTCCTCTAACAGAATTTTGTCATTTCCGATTAACTGTATTTATTTTGATCTATCCTGTTGTTATATCCTGCTAAAAATAAACTTGAGCTTACATTTATTGCACCTGATGCTTGTTATTGTATTTTTTCGTCACTCCTTCAAATATCCATCTCTGCTTAGTATCAGTTTGGATTAACCATTTTGACTCAGCACACATGAATGA